ACTGTATATTCTTCGAAAACTAAACCATCGGCACAAAGTTTTTGTAAATAAGTTTAATCTACTAACTTTTGACACACTTCGTCCTCTTCAAAATCGCACATCGGAGATACATATCAAACTGCAAGCTCACTATTTGCATTACGAGACGCTCTACAAATCTCCTAGCTCCTGCCTCGTTAGGCGCAATAACAGGATTTTGGATACCGGCTGTGCTAGAGTAAACCATGGCAACAGGCAAAGTTGTAAGGCGGGTGAAGTTAAAAGTCCTAGTACTCTCTGCAACGAAAATTGCAATTTTCCAATAAATTTCAAAAAATCAAGTTTACTTCATTCGTTAATGTTCTAGATTATCTTTCTTATTTTGAATCCAGAATCATTCCACCAAAAGGTTTAAGTTGTATTATCTCTTCAGTAGTGATGATTTAGTAAACATTTTCATTCCCATTGCTGCTTAGAAACCTCTATTCAAGAATGTAAATATTTTTATAGCACTATTCATACATTCGAGTATTCGTTATCTTGACCTGGAAGCATCGCTCGCATCCCAGCACTCTCAAAATTGTAGCGAGCAAAGAAATTATAATGACACCAAGCGGGAGTCTGCCCATGCTTGTAGGAATTTTCACCCTTGGTTTTTAAATGCTTAAGTATCATTATAGTTGCAGATAGTCAGTTTAGTACGTTTAGATTTTGGCAGCCTAGTTTGGTTTTGATGTTTTGGCAACCTCTCCGTACTCGTCCTATCCGACGCTGCCGTACCGGGTTCTCTTTCGGGTTCAGGGAAATGAGGCCCATATCTACGTCTCTCTCGGATTAACAGGAAGAGCTTGTTTGTTGCAGGCGACTTCTGATCGCCTCCGGTGTCTTTTCCAGCCGCACGATTGCAGGCTTTTGGCCGACTTGACTCGTAGAAAAATAGGTTTGCTAAGTCAGCGCTGCAGAAAAAGGGACCTCATTCATCTGCATGTCAGGAAAGTACACGGTGGCTTCTTGCCCCCGGTTTTTTGGTCCGTCGGTTATGTACCTATAGTGCACGAACACTTGCTCACGAATCCACTGTAGAAGATCTATTGATTCGAGCAAGAAGAATAAGGTACGACGTCATTGGCCTGCCTGAGACGAGAAGACGCCATCCTTTTCATGCTGTTAGTGACACCGGAGAAGAACTGCTTTTAGGAACATGCGATAGCAGAGGTGTCGGCGGCGTTGGTGTCCTCGTAAACTGAATTTGACCGTGAACCCTAAGATTCTTTTCATTTAACCGCTTCTAGCGGCGGTATGATGTTTCAGATATACCCAGTAATGTAGAGTGATGCGCAAGAATTTTGCGTCAGGCTGTGACCAAAAGTTAAACCCATCATTAGAGGTGTAGGCTGACCGACGGATATGATAGGATGGTCTTTGATTTTAATAACATGCGAGTTGCTAAGACACATTCCAACACATGTGACAAACACTCAGATGTTCTTGGACCTGCTATGTAACGCGAATCCGAACAACGCATACGTAATGGAGTCATTCGACGTCACTGCTCTCTATACGAACTTGTGGAATGGTTCTGCATTGTGAGCCACACACGAGCTTCACATACAACATCAGGGAGCTGTAAACATGTACGGCTTGACTATTCAGCAGTTTATGGTGCAATTGAGCTGTTCAATCTTCAGATGCTCCGGAAGTACTTTGCTCAAATGAGAGGACTGGCAATGATACACCGACAGGCCACCTAGCCCGGCGATTGCCTTTATGTCGAAATTGGAAGCACCTGATGGATCTACGGCCATACTCTACTGTAGGTATATAGATGATTGTTTGGTTATCTGTTCCACTCAGGAGGAGCTATATAATTGCTATAGATTGTTGCATGAAGAGTTAATGTATATAAAAATTCACCCGTGAGATGCCAAAAGATGATTGGTTCCATTTCTTGAACGTGCAAATAAGCTTAACCGAGAGAGGCGAAATAACAAAGTGGTAACGCAAGCTAAGTACTAAGCATATTCTGGTTCACTATGTCTCTTCTCATCCCTCACATACGACAAAAATTTAGCAAAAAGCATGGTTCGAAACAGCCGCCAATGTTTTACGAATTTGTAACCTCTCGGCCAAGTTTAGAGGAAAGAGTACGCCTCCGAACTAAAACTTGAATCAAAGGAAAGTCCCGTTTAACCTCCCGTTCTTTTCAAATGAGATTAATACAGCTATAAAACGCTGCTTGAAAAGAGCGGGTTTAGAGCAATCGGTGGCTATTATTGAAATACAACCGAATACTCTAAGGCACCAACTAGTTCGCAACCGCTTATATGACCGTCTCTGTATAATGAAACATTGTGAAATATGTCCTAACGGCAGAGATGGTGATTGCACAAGTGTAGGTACAGTCTACCTAACCTCTTACAAAGCGTGTAGCGATAAATATATGGGCGAAACGGGTAGGTCACTCTATGCCCGCATAGAAGAACACCTAGCTGACAAGCCTCTTAATAGACGGAACACCCCGTTAGGGACGCACAGAGGACAGAAACACGACGAAGTTGATTTTGAGATCGCAGTCACCATTCTTGCGCAGCAACAAAAAACATCAGCGCGAAGAATTTTGGAAGCACTTTGGGTTATCACCACCAATCCAACTATAAATCGCAAAGAGGAGTGCCTCGCTATCACTCGTGATTTGAGTCAGTATAAAAGACTGTTGCTTTGATGGGTAAGGCGTCATAGCCTATGTATAGCCTATGTATATATAGCCTTTGTGTAGCCTATGTGATCTCCTTCCGATGGTCTCCACTTGAGTCATCCGGTGGAACACATATAAGAAGTGGTGAGTATGTTGAGAGTTGCTGAAGCGATTGAAATCTAGGTCCGGTGATTTTTTCCAAAGGAGTAATGGAGGTGTGTTTGACTGATTAGATTGCGGACAATTTGACCTTTCCAGGTTCTGAGTCAGAGAGTTATCGAAGACGAACGTTTACACTCTATGTCAAGCGAAATTTTTACCTAACACAGAGTGTTTTCGCACTCGATTGCTAGCTGGCTGGTATTTTTATCATACTATACCTTTATCTCGAGTGCTTTGTTTAGACCACACTCAAATTCCTTCTGTTTAGGGAGAGTAGGGTTCCCGAGAGAGCTGATTCATAAACAGATTAACATGTTCGATGTTTCTGCCCGACTGACGAGTCTGTAAGGACGAAACACGTGTCTCGGGCTGTACAAGAGCCCTTACCAGACCACATGACATGTTAGCTCAAATAATAATGAAAGGATCTATTGAAATTTGAGCGTGGTCTTAATAAAGCACTCGAAGGAAAGGTATAATATGAAAAAAATACCAGCCAGCTAGCAATCGAGTGCGAAAACACTCTGTGTTAGGTGAAAATTTCGCTTGACATAGAGTGTAAAATGTACGTCTTCGACAACTCTCTATAAGGAGTGTAACGCTCCCGAGAGAACTGACTATAAAAAGATCGACGACGACGGTTCTGCCCGGCTGATGAGTCTGTAAGGGCGAAACACGTGTCTCGGGCTGTACAAGAGCCCTTATGAGACCACATGACATTGTTGGCTCAAATAATGATGAAAGGATACATTGAAATTTGAGCGTGGTCTAAACAAAGCACTCGAGGTAAAGCTATAACTACAAAGACTTCTATAGTGAATAGTCTTAGTGAAATTAACGCCGATGGTTTTCAAAACCTTGCATTTTTTAACGGATAAAACCATATCCTTGCATCCTTGCGAAAAGAAACATATTTTGAGCTGTTACTGAACTTTTTTCTTAATTGATCAATGTTTTGTAGGCACTCGATGGCTCAAAATTTTGATTCTGATAGTAATCTGATAGTGAATAGATTTCTATAATGCGTTCTACTAATAAGAAGAGCAACCTTTTGTATCCGCAATTTTCTTTCACTACTTCACAGCATATTTTTGGTATTATATAGTAGGACTTTGTTTCTGAGAAAGCTTTATTACAAAAGAAAATAGATTCTCGCTGAAAGAATTGTTATAAAGGTGTTTTTAATAAGAAGAACGCCAGTTGTTCTGGAAATCCTTACTTTTGAATGCAATTTCTGTCTCGTCTAATCGAATTTCAAGGAATGGGTTTGCGAATCTTCTGGCTTTTTTCAGAATATAGCTATCGCATTAGATCATTAGAAGTTATTTGACAGTACAAAAGACAAAAGTTTCTAGTACCATGTTCGGCTTCCAGAAAGAGCATCTTCTGCTTGAGCCACTAGCGAAAAGAATAGTTAACGTTTTGATTTTGCAGCAGTTAGCCAGTCTTGTCAAATTTTAGAGCGCATTTGTTGGTACTTGTATGAGAGACTTCTGATTTAAAGCAAACACGCCATTATGAAAACTGATAATTTACTAGTACAGAACTTCGATAAACTCTTGTAAGTCTTTCTTTTTTTATATTGAAGCTACACCCTCGAGTGGACGTATATCCAGCGGCTTTTGGACAGAAATCCGTTTTTATGAGCCATATTCTACTCAATATATTGTAGTGTTGATATTGTGCTCATAAAAGGCTGTAGGTGGTTGAAAATATTTCTACTGAGTTATCTGAAAATAGGAACGGAACGGGGCACAGGAAACTACAAAGCTGACATCTGACTAAAAAGAACTGTGTGAAGCATGTAAAATGGGTGCACTAGGTCCAGTGTCAAAACAGCCACTATAAAATGTGCCTAATGTGACATACTGAATTGTGCTGTGTGATGTGCAAGACTTTGACGTCAACCGTGACTCGAACCCGCATTTCACCCTTCCGGGGGCGTGCTTAACCAATAGCAGTACCAACGCCTGCTTTGCCACCACTCTTTTTATGCCGTAACGCGTCAATTCGTCAGCAGCGAACTGTCAACTGTTAGGCTAGTAGTCGATATCGACGCTGAACCCAGTCACGTTGGCAGAAAATGGATATATGTGTGGCCAAACAAAATTCTTTTTTTCTAAATTCCAATGCTTTTCGCGTGTGCTGCGATGTCACAAAATATGCAGTGCAATTGGTTAAGCACGCGCCCTCGGAAAGGGTGAAATGCGGGCTCGAGTCCCGCCTGAGGTTCTGTACGTCACTCTACATCATTGGGTACACTTGTAACGTCATAACACCGCCAAGAGCGCTTAAATAAAACATTGAATTTTACCAAATTTTATTGTTATTAAGTGAGATTTCAAGATAGCCGTTTGAAAATTAGAGTAATTGCAGTTTGTGCATTGTTGAGATGTGCCGTTCTATAGTAGAATACATTCTCGGATAAAATGGGACTATTTCTTAAACTATTCTGATACGAATTTCTCACCTTATACTTTGTAGCTAATGACATACTACTTGCTGCTTATTAGTTTAGACTGTGGAAAGAATGTTGGTTGAGGTGAAAGTATTGCTGTTTTACACCGTGAGATTAGAATGAGTCGTGAAGCAACAGAGACAGCTCGCACATCAACAACGCATCTGACCCATAACCGCTAACGAACGTGCGATCCAGTGGTGGTTGAAGAAGGTTTCTAAAGGAGACACATTTCAGGAATGCATAAACCGTAGTCACTTTGCGCCAACCGTATTGGAAGACATGGGAGAATAGCAGAAGAACTCAGCGTCTCCCATTTCACCATCCTCGCCATTTGAAGCAAATCAAGAAAGCGGCTGCGCTTTAAGCACGACATGAAACCGCAGCTACTTTTGCATCAATCCAATAGTTTAAGATCCAGTGATTGCGTTTCTATGACTACCTTGCTTTGTCAGTGTCGAATCTTCTTAATTGTATATAGTACATGATGGGTTATCTTAGACACTTTGCAAGCGTAATATTGTTGTCAACCACTTCACCAGATATAAGCTGTCAAAATCTGTTTCTCACATGTAGTCAAGTGATAAAAAGGCATCAAATATGCTGTCAGGATGTAGTCAGGCGTTTTTTCTCGCTAAACTGCAGAGCCAGTATATTGAGTTCACATTGCAACTGATCCCCTTTTTAGATCAGGAAATCCGAATTTTGTATAAGTTTATCTTTTGAACATAATTTAGAGATTTCAACCAATTTTTGAGATTGTTCAAAGTCTTAGCGGAGATTGATGTTTTAAGGTCATACACGCGTGTTTCGGACATTCTTTCAAAAGCAGTCGGTGTTCATGGCGAGGTTTTGAAGACAGTCTATGTGAGGGTGTCATTAATCATCAGACTCCTCTATATTTCACTGCTCATATTTTAGGAAGAAATTTATGGCTCTCTTCTTTTCGTTAAGGAAGTCGAAGATTTGAACCAGCAGGGCGAAGTGCTACGAAAAGGAGTCTTTCTTCGCGACTAATCTTTTCGTCATTCTGGTCCCTTTCTTGAGTCGCCCTCCCTACTTTTTGTATGATAAGGTCCTGGTTCGACTCGGTTTTTCATATTCTTAGTCCCTCTAATTACTGTTGTTCGTTGGATTCGCTAGTTATTAT